TCTCCGTCCATCGCGTTAGAATCAAAGACGAAATGTGAGAGGACAAAACTATATAGAAATCAAGATTAGAGAGGGAGAGACAAAGGAGAACAGCTTTTGCAGGATGAGTCTGATTTATCGCTTTATATGCGATCTAAATAGACGGTACGCGAATATTAAAGACATTATTAAAGGTAAGGCGCGACAAATCGATTCGGTACTCGGCGAGAGACGAAATTCTTAGAAAGCTGTGCTGCAAAGGCGAACGGAAGATTTGATATTTATGTGATATCCTCTTCGATGATTCTTTGAATTTCGTGGAAATTAACTAAAATTTATAATAAACTCTTTCTCTTTTGATTTCGCTACTTCATTTAAGGAAGCAGATTCGCTTAAAACTATAAGCAAAATATCAATTTTGTATCTGAACAACAGATTAATTTCTGCATATTTTGAATTATACATATAAAATATTTTGAATACGTTTAAATGTCTAAAAAAACAACATATAATTCTTTCACGGTCTAAAAGATTGAAAGTCAATAATTAAAATATAATTTGTTATATTAAAAATTTTTTTATTTTGTCATTTCTATAATATTCTACTTATTAGTTTTGATTCGAAATAAAGGCAAAAAGAAGAAATCATTGCAAACGATGCAAAATTATACCAGCGTCAAAACCTTTGAAATTCTCCTGTAAAATCATATTTATCGTTATGTATCTTTTTCTTGGAAAATATATTGTTTTATAAAATAGTTTTTAATTTCTTCAGAAAAAATGGACCACTGCAATTAAGTCGTAATTAAAAAAAATACAATGTTTCATAAAAGTTACAAAAAAGCTGATTATGATTACAATTTAGAAGGATTTTATTTTAAAAAAAGCATTTAAACGCGATCAAAATATAATTGATCATATGAAGAAAATAAAAAAAAAACAGATGATTCGAATATGTTGATCTATAATATATACACAGAAGAAAACATAGTAGTAGCAATTATAAAAGTAATAACTATGCAAGTTTTATATGTAAAATTAATATACATAGTTAAATAAACTAATATTATAGTTGACTGAACTATTTTGTAATCGCAGTAACTATAAAACAGTTTATTCTTAATTACGTATATTAATTCTGTATACAAAACTTGTATAATTGTTACCTTTATAATTTTCACTATATAGTTGGAATTATAAAGGAAGGTGACAACTATACATATAAGTAGAAGTTATATGTAGAAGTAATGTACATACAGTTGAACAAAGTAAGGTATATACTTAAATAAATTATTTCATATTGCAATAATTATAAAATAGTATATTCAATTATGTACATAAATTCTACATGTAAAACTTGTATATATAGTTGTCATCACTACTGTTTTTCTCCAAGTGTAATGATGAGAAAAACGAATAAAAATCGGATAAGACGTGGCAATCGTATCTCGTCTCCCTTTTCCGCACATCCGTCTTCAGTCTTCAGTTTTCGCGATCATTAACGAGCCCGTTTCTGTCACGATTGCATTCAAAACGAATGAAATTAATGTACAAAGAAAGAAACGAGCATAAATTGAAGACGAAAGCTACACAATTGCGAAACGACACACAAGATCTCCCCCTTCCCCCCATCCCCCGTCTGCTCTTTCGCAGCCGGGAACGAAAGGAATGAAAATTGGCGAACCTTTGAACCCTTTCTGTATCCGTTCGGCGTCAATTGCACGCTCTCCGCGCACACTTTGTTTCGCCTTCCTCTTTCTCTCCCTGCGCGCGTAGTACGCCTACTCCGCCCCCGACTCTCTTCGCACCGAGCAGCAGCGAGGATGTACTTAGGTATAAGTACGCGAGAAAAAACCGAAACGAAGAATCGAAGTCGGTTGCCGTTTATTTTGAACGGCTATCGATTCTAGTCTATTTAGATAGTTGGCAGCAGAGCCAAAGCGAGAGAAAGATGCCTCCCGCGAATCCGTCAGCATCCACGTCGCGTTCGTCCGCGCGGCGCACACGTTGACAGGTCGATCGTTCTCCCGGCGGCCCAGCCAGCGACGCGGGTTTTTTCTCGCCGCGCGTGAGCGACGCGCGTTCGCGTGGAAATTTCCCCTCCCCCGAAGAGCCGATTGAAGTTTTAAACACAATAGTAGACGAACAAAAGAAACGGCGAGCGCGTTACCGCGTTCAATTCAATCCTTCAAATTCGATCCGTCAGCCGGGTCACCTTTTGGCCGAATCGGCCAAAGTAAACGACGAGAGAGAGCGATTCGTTTTCTTCTTTTTGGTGGACTTCCGATCCTTAAAGATCGCGATGCCGCGATTTCAATCGAGAATTTTTCCAAAAATCCGGCATGGATGGTGAGGTACAGGATGTACAGTCATGGACACATCGGTTGCGACACTTTCTTTTTTATAGGTTTCAAAACGCACTAATATTTTGCAAATGCGGATTGGTGTTATACTGTCTCCAGACTAAAGATAGTACATACATCGTGGTTCGCATTTGCAAAGTATTATCTATCTATAAAGTATGTATTATGTATATTAAATATATATTAGAAACCTATTAAAAAAAAGTGTCGCAACCGATATGTCCACGCTGTACCACGTCCGTGTCTCTTTGAATATGCATACATGCGTATTATATATAGTTTCGGATTTCGATAAACTTGTATGACAAGAGAGAGGACTCGAGGATGCGGGACCGCGCCACCGAGAGAACGAACGCCGGGAACGAGAGGCGAGCGAAAGAACAGGATGAATAGGCAAGAGGGAAGCAGGGGGAGGGGGGAAAGAGGGGGACTCACCTCGTGCGAGCGCTGTCAACAACAAAGCTAGCAGCAGCAGGACGGCGAGTGGACGCGGCTCCTCCATTGGGTCGTCGGAAGCAGGATCCGTCACAACGCACAGACTCCGACGCGGCGCGACGTCCGTCCGCCGAGAGTAAAGGCTTTTTCGAGGGGGGGAAACCCCCGAGATCACCACCGCCTCCTCCGAGGACGACCACCGCCGTTTACACACGCGCGCGCGATGTCCCGCCGTATCGGGTGCGGGCGCATGCCACGCCACGTCCCGCGTCCGACGTCGCCCCCGCGCGCGAAATCCCGCCCGGGGCCACGCGACTTACCGTCGTCGCGGCCGTTTACACGACAGATCGGCTCTCACGTCGTCCGCGGGACACATTTTCGCACGACAAGCTCGCTACTGACCGCACTCGACCGTGGTAAAACATGGCTAACGGACGACGGAGCGTCCGGGATAGTCCAGTGATGCCAGTCCAACGACGAGAATCACGAGAGCGCACGCGCGGCAATCACGGAGCCGCGTCCTCTCCCTACCCTTCCCCCCCCCCCTCCCTATTCATCCTACCTTTTTAGATCCCCGTCACCTAGGAAACGCGACGTATATTTCTCTTCTCACAAGCTCCAACAGACCGACCGACCAGCCGGTCGCTGAAACTGCCGAAAGAGAGCAAAAGAGAGGCACTACGGAGAAAGAAATTCAATGTAAATGCGATATACTTTATTATACTTGCTATATTTAAAACAAAATCTAAATATGTAATCAGATAAGAAAGATGAATACAAAAAAATTCAATTGTAAATTGTCGTTTATTAAAGAATATTTGTTGTTTAACCTAAATATGTATATATGTGTGTATGTACTATAAACTCATATATTTGTTTTATTTGCATCTTTTTTAAACGATTTTATTGAATTTTTCGATCATTTATATTCATTCAAATGTATCATCTCAACGAGATATTATTATAAAAATTTTCAATCCTGGAGCAAAATATATTGTAACTATATTAATGGAACTCCAAAAATAATTGAAGAGTATCGATATTATCTACTATCGATATCAATTTAAATAAAGACGCAATATTCATCATGATTTGTAAAATAAATGTTTCATAAATAAAAACGTGCATTTACAAATAATATCATGTATTTTGTGCAAAACATTTTTTTCCACAGTTATCATTCATATGAATAATCAAATGCGGACAATATTACAATTTTCAATAAAAATTAATATATGTATATTATCGAATATATATTATCGAATCCTTTATACATCTGTATACATGTTTACAAATTATCAAAATAATAATAGATTATAAAATTAGTGTTATATATATTATAATAAGCACTAATATTTAAATTTCAATATTGTCGATGATGCATTTAATTGTTTTTTTGAGTAACCTTTTTTAAACTATATACATTTATCTATATGCATTATCAATTGAATATATTATAAAAATCTGAAATAAGAAGAAAATTTTGGATATTTATTGAAAAAAATTGGCGAACATTTTTTGTTTATTTTTCAAAATTTTTATATAATTTTATAACTTTTAATAAATTTCTGAGATGGTTGTTCTCAGTTGTACATGCACGAATTAGAACACTTTTTAGAAATGTTGAAAATATCTACATGTATATGCATCTGTTCTCTGCAATTTATTATGTATATGTATGTAAATTAATTCTATTGAAATATTCTAATTGTAAACTGATTAATTTCCTCATTCTACAATTTCCGAAAAAAATTTATAAAATCTCTGAAGAAATAAAAAACATATTTTTATAAATCTTTATAAATTTAAAATGACAAATTTTTAGAAATTCTATTATGAAAATTTTTTTTATCAGAAAAAACAAGAAAGAAAAAATGTAAAATGCGTATAATTTTACTAATTATATATATACATATATATATATATATACATTTTCTACATTTGAAATGAAAGCAATATATGTATATATTCTGATATTGAAATGAGAAAGAAAAAGCGAAAAAAAGGAAAGAAAAAAAAGAAGAAAACAGATCAGAAATGCAATAAATTAGTGTATAGATATTATTAATAAAAATTTAAAATAAAGCAAATTTAATTTAATAACAAATAAAAATGTTGCCATCTATGTTATACTTTGAACAATGATTTTCCGTACATCCTTATGTATAAATAAGTATAAAAAGAAAATAAAAATGATATAACCGAAAAAGAGCCGCGAGTGCCTGTGATGTCAATTGGCACATATTCCACGCATGTCTGTTCTTCGTAGCTGCACTGCCTGCACTTTTGTATCGTCTTTCATCTTTCTTTTTCCAGCGTAATCGAATCGAATACGAATACGAATGTTGATTGTTCCTTTTATTTTGAATGAAAAGAACATAAAAAGTGATAATGAAAACAATCGATTTTACGGTCGCTCTCGCACATTCGATTATTTTCTTCTAATCCGATTCTCTTCTAATCTTTAGTTTAGTACGTAACCTCTTTATCGGTGATACTGCTGGTCTAATCAAGAGAAACGAATAGGACAAGGTTGGGATAATGTTCAAGTATTTAATTTAAAAAAATAGGAAGAATTATACAATCAATAAATAAGACTGAAGAGTATAAAACAATTAAGTGAAATTAATTAGGTTGATAAAAAAAAGGCGTCGTATAATCTCAAGGAGAAGTTGAAGGCGCAAATCCACCATCCGGTAGAGCAACGTTAAAAATCCTCCCTGATATCGCTGCAATTTAATTCGTTGGCATATAATTTATTATGACATAGCCTGCCATGTATCCCCGACTACTGTTGAATCTTTGCGAACGATCTCTATACCGTGTCTCGAGCGGCGTTAAATCGAGTGTTAAAAGATTGAGTCATGTTGCTAGTAAAGACGAGGAAAAGCGAAAGGTGGAAAATGTCTCCACGAAGTTCCCCGATTACAAAGAGAAGCAAAAGGTGGAAACTGTCTCCAATGCCTCCACGAGGTTCCCTGATCACAAAATCCTTTATGTATTTCCTTATACCAAGCAAGCTTGTGGTATAAACGTTGTGAAACGCCGACTTACTCTATTCGCTGGAGTAGCCACACCTGTGATCATTGGACTTCATCTGGCCAGCATCTTGTCCTTTGACGTAACTATTGTGACAATAACAACTGGTGAATAAATTCTTATATATGCTTATTTCAAATTTCTCTTAAATAAAATTGACTTGTATAAATAAACATTTCCTCTTTTTGCCCACAGGAGTTCTAACAACATTGTGGCTACATTCTCTTGGAATTTTCACCAACAATCTCATAGGATACATATACGTAAAATTGGACGAGCAAAAAGTAATATTATCTTACATAGACTATTGGGGAAAGAGGATAGACCTGAGGATTTCTGCCAAAGAAATTTTTCCCATGTCGGATAATCCAACCAGTATCACCGATTCTCTGTACAAAAAAGTACTGCTCACACAAGAGCAAAATTTTAAAACCTTAAAGATAAATCTAAAGCTGGGACAGATAATTGACGTTGAAAATTTTAAATGTGTTCTAGGAGTGGTTGAATAATTTTGTTAAACGTGTACAAAACAATTCTATAAAGCGTCATTACGTTTCAGAGAAATAATTTTATTTATACATTTTATTTATAATTATTTTATTTATAGAACTCATCTTGTCTATATCCATCTATAGTGCGCATAAGCCCGATTAGCTTGACATTTCTTGTGTAATTCTTGCTTCCATTTAATCGCACGACCCTAAGACAATAGATTATATAAGATTATAAAAAGAAAATATGTAGCTGTATATTGCAAATTGTAATAACTTTTGTAAAGTAACTTTTCTTTGATGATTCATGAATTGTAAAGATTCACCTCATTCTGTACATAAAAGCAAGGTTATCAAATAATGAATAGTTCAAAAGATATTTTAAATTTTAGGTCAAAAAGTGCCTGAATAAGAACAATTGATTTTTCGATAACTTTAAATAAGTTATATATATATATATCTATATATATATATAAAACTTTAATACTTTTATATGTAGAATAATTGGAGGAATTATATATTATACAGATATATACATATATGTAAAAGAAATTATATAATTCTACTTTAAAAAAAATGGAATTGGCGATGACCTTCATACAATCATAAAAAATAAATTTTTTCGAAAGTTAACTTTACTATTATTTGTCTCCCTCTAGATTATATTATGTTTGTCTAACAAGTTTATGGTCCTTTTTTTCTAAAACTTACAAGTTTTGAAAGTTTTAACTGGCAAAATATGTATCATAATATAGAAATAATTATATATTTTTTATTACAAAATGCAAATTATAAACCTGATTCTGAGAAGCTGCTATTAATTCTTTGGCCAATGTATCATAAAACCTTTGGGTGGACTCTTTCTCATTTGCAGCTTCAATTAACCATAACATAGATTTGTGCTGTGCCTTTAAAGGTGAAATTGGAATAGGAACCTGAAAAGATCGATTTTATCTCGTCAGTGACTACAAAATTAACATATTTAATTAATATAGTATGTCTTTGAATTTTCCGTACAACTTTAACAGTATGTTGTATTAGCTGAAATAAGAAAGTGTTGTATAAACATTGGGCCAAAAATGCTTCATTAAAAAGTTACAGTAAAAATATGAAATCTGTAAGAAACAATTTTTTTACCTAAGTTTATTTATTTCAATATGCTTTCCTTCTATGTTAATAAAAGCTTGGCATCGATGTAAATTGAATTTATCACTGACAAAGTTACATTAACGAGATTTTTTCTTATTTTAGGTTACAGAATATACTATATATAATATTACAACATACTGTCAAAAGATTTGGAAAAAATTCAAAAATCTTGTATTACCTGATATGTGATTCCTCCTTTTCTACATCTCATTAATTGTAAAATCGGTATGCAATTATCAACGGCACGGTGAAAAATCAGAAATGGATCCAATTCAATTTCAGCTTTTTCTTCGCTCGTTGTTGCCTTGTGATATCTCTGCAGTTGTAATCTTTTGACACTCTCGAAAGTTTTGGTTACCAGTGTTTTTGCTAAATTCTTATCTCCATTCTTCATAAGGGTATTAATAAATTTCCTAAATTTCCATAATTGGCGGATAAGTTACAAGAGATAATATAAAAGTTTGCGTTGAAAAAAACTGAAATTGGTAGTTACTTACAGCACTCTTTCATCATAAAATTCGGAGCATGTGTCAGTGACTAAGGCTGGTTTCACTTGCTCATGCACAATCTTCTTTGCTTCATCGCTTTTAAACAAAGTTTCTTGATCTTCTTTTCTAAAAGTGGGTTTAATATAATGGGGTGGAAAAACGCTATAGCTTCTTGTAAGACTCGTCAAGCAGACTCTGAAATTCACATTTTTATAAATAGATGAAAATTATATAAAACAGAATGTATAAAATAATTATTAGAAAGAGAGATTGTAGTTTATTTATTTTTTCGTTATTGTCACCTTGCCAATCCATAATTATTTAATAAATTTGTGGTCGACGTAACAAATAAATGCAAATTAACCATTTTAATCGACTGTTCGCACTGTTCACAGTAACCTAAACCTAACCTAACTGTGACATCGCAACATCGCGATTTACTATCCTCTATCCTCTTGCACTTGCTACACTTATTAAACTCTAGGGTACGTTCAAGAATTCACGGTATATTATTTTATCCTTGTTTTTCATCGAATGTTAAACAAGGATAAAGTGATATCTAGCTGCATCTGGGGATCGATTGTGTATCTTGAAACGAGGTGCAAATTACAAAAGTGAACAAATTCACTAGGATATTTTTAATTTCATTGGTCAGTATCTAGTGAATTTGCTCATTTTTGTAATTTTCACCACGTTTCAAGATCACAGGATGTCCCATAATAACCACACCGGATCTCGTGGGCAGGTAAAACAGATAAAACTGAACAGAAAAGTCCTCTACCATTTTGCAAAATTTGCAATCGTTAACGAGATATTAATTTTTGAAGACCGGCGAATAAACGTGTATCCGTCCATCTACCGCTGAATACAAGCGCGCGGCAAGATGCGACCGCCCCACCGGCCACCGCTGGTAATTGCTAGAGTCCTAGATTATCAGAGAAGCGCGACCGGTGTTACGAGTCCTGATTGGACACGCAAATGGCCAATCATAAGATTGATTTATCGCTATTATAAATGTCTGCCGAATAAATCAATCTTATGATTGGTCATTCGACGCCATTTTTAATATTTTCTAGTACTTTTGCGATACTGCCATAAGCCGGTCGCGCTTCTCTGATAATCTAGGACTCTAGTTACGCATAGTGCAAACTAAACGACTTCGGCTGTATCACTAAAAGAAAAGCAGTCGTACAAGAGTTAATCTCTTTGAAAAAATCGAAAATCGATTCCTCATTAAAATAATCGATTTGCCTTAAAATCAAATTTAAAAAAATCGATTTAAAAATCGATTTTTTATAAAAAAAATCGATTTTATAAAAAATCGATTTAGAATCGAGCATCCCTAGATCAAAAGGAAGCGGGAGTCCCGGCCTTTCGATCCAAAGCTTCCGCCAGGGCCTCTGCCTCCTTTTCCTCTGCCCACCCGGACAAAATTCGTGCCGCCGTTGAAGGACGACCACCACTATCCCGCGGGCAAGGAAACGGGGACCGGACCGTCCGCCGGCCGCAGGGGCGCCCGTCGCCGCCCTACCTAGGAGCCTTCCTCCGTCGGCCCCCGAGCTTACCGAAGGACGACACCTGGATCCGGGCGTGACGGATCTGCCGTGGAGGCTGGGACCTGAACGTCCCCCAGCCGCAAGGGCGCCCGTCGCGCTACACAGGAGCCCTCCTCCGTCGGCCCCCGAGATCTCCGAAGGACGACGCTTGGATCCGGGGGTGTCGTACCTGCCGTGGAGGCTTATCCTGGTGAACCTGCCAGACGAGAGGGTGACAAGGTGGAGGTTGGCAGACTCACGACCTCGGCCGGTCACCACCCAGGTCTCGCGCTCCACGCAACGGGCGTCGCCTGCGCCCAGTCTCGTCCCGTACTGACGCCTCCGAGCCCGCTGCCGACAACGCCGCCGAAGCCAAGGACGCCAGGTCGACCGCGGAGTCACTTCCGGAGACAGCCTCTGAGCCCGCGGCCGTCAACGCCGCAGCAGCTGAGGACGCCGGGGCGACTGCCGAGTCCTCTCGGAAAACCTCCGGCGACGCCGGACCGGCCATCCTGCCTACCCGCTGAGTCGGCGAGACACGCCAGTCCGCCTGAACGCACGTCGAGCGTGAGCACCAGCCCTTGGCGTTCAGCGGGCCCGTCGAAGCGTTCCAGGACACCGGAACGTTTCCGGGAGC